AATAAACATACTCTTAACACCCTCGGACTCTGCGTTGTGTTTTGTATGTGTGATGGGGTGTTATGCAGAGGGGAGGAAAACAGGACACAGCAGATTGGGATTGTGGTGGAGATGCTGAGCAGTTATTTAATTGTTGCATGTAATTATTATTATACTGCGTGCTTCTTAGTTATTCCATCTTTTGCTGTAACATGGATCTGTATGTAACTCTATATTTACTTGTTATCTACCACACTTCCTTCTACATCATACACCATCATTATACATGATGGTGTATATAGGATATATATATTTGTATACATATCTGTAAATTGTATAATTTTATTTAAACGTCTTTTTGATCTCTCTGTCTATAAACTCAAACTGAGTAAGATTGACAATAAAGTTGACTTTGAAAAATATATATATTCTTTATGAAAATAGTTGACTGTTGTCAAATGAATCCAAATGAAACGTTGGACTGAACTACAACTACGCCTTTAAATCTCTACGGACTGTTTTTCAGTGGGATGGCAAGTTCCTATCTTTAAACATTTATTAGTTTTTTCTCAGAACAGATTTGATTTTCTGAAGTTAATTTAACTTTGCCGACCATGTAAGGTCATCATTAAAAGGTACAATCAATTTGTTTAGGGTTGACTAAAATAATGAAAAACATTCATTTGGATAATTTACTGACAGAATAAGAAACTCAATGATGCTCTACTCACCTGTTCCCTTTTTATAAAGTGAAACAGTTGAAACGATAGATTTTAGTAAACTTAAAAACAACCTTCTCCAAAAGCTATCAAGGAATATACCGAATACTTGTTTTAGAACTTTATTACATATTTTTATATAAATAGTTTGAATGATCCATATTTGACAGAAGCTTGTGTTTACACTGACCTGTTACTCATATATTAATGTCTTTGTAACTTCAGTAAACCACTACCTCACTAATTTCTTTCATTCATCACGGTTCAGTAAACTAAGTGATACATGAACCAGTTTAATCATTATAACGTAGGATTGCAACTCTTTGAAAATGTATGTGGCTCTTAAAAGAGCTGTTGTGTTTGGGTGTGCTGGTCTCAGGTCAGTCTAAGCCCTCTCTCCGCGGATGCGGCGGGCCAGCTGGATGTCCTTGGGCATGATGGGGACCCTCTTTGCTTGGTTCATCTTACTGGGGGGCAGCTACATGGATGTCGGTGCAGTCCACAATCATTGCGCAGTTGAAGGCAGAATGAATTTATTATTGACTCCGAATGAAGCACAACTTCATGTCATACAATGCAATGACTTTATTTGTAATTGTGTAAAAAAATATGAGCATTGATTAGCAAGCAGGACCTGCAGGAACAGAGAATGGTGATGGAGCTGGGAAGAGAGAAGAATAAAGAAAACAGATCAACTTTATTATCGGATATTAAAAATTCAATTTCAAAACAAGTTGCCGCTCCTAGTTTTCTAGTATGTAAAGATGATTTCACATCCATCCATCCATCCATCTTCTCCCGCTTATCCGTGGTCGGGTCGCGGGGGTAGCAGTTCCAGCAGAGAGCCCCAAACTTTCTTTTCCCTGGCGACATCAACCAGCTCTGACTGGGGGATCCCAAGGCGCTCCCAGGCCAGCGAAGAGATATAATCCCTCCACCTGGTCCTAGGTCTACCCCTTGGTCTCTTCCCAGCTGGACGTGCCTGGAACACCTCCCTAGGGAGGCGCCCAGGTGGCATCCTAACTAGGTGCCCGAACCACCTCAACTGGCTCCTTTCGACCTATGCAAAATATCACACTCAATACATGTGTGTCTCTGGGGGGTGCATTGTGCCTTTGATGTATATAAATAATATACCATAACCAAATACTATTACGTACAGTGGAAATCAGGTTGCCAGAGCAGGTCAGTGTGCATGTTCCTCAACGTCTCAGCAGTTACAGGTGAGGTAAAGAAAATAAAAGAGAAAAAGGTCAGTAACAACACTTTAAAGTAACAACACTATGAATAATTATCTCTTCTAACAATTTTCTCTCAATAAGCACACAACGACTGTCTTTCCAACAAACAGATTGTCATCACAATGAAACACGTCCAGAAGAATGTCATGCAAAGCTCCATGCCTGCCTTCGACTCTCCCTGAACTGCTTCCTTAGCACCCGGTGGAGGGCGCAGTAGGCTACTCTTCAAAAGTTTCACGAAATACTTACCATCATGTTTGGTTACTGTTTAACATTTTGGTTTACTTCATGTAATAAAATAATAACTTCATGGTAAGGCTACTAAAAATGACAAGGCTACGTAATGTAATGCTAACTAACGTGCTCGCTACTCGTCGCTACTAGCTAGGTAGCTAACTTGACTATGTTCCACAACATGTATATTACCTATGATATTACCTGATATGTCTGATCCAGCGACTCCTGGTCCTTTCATCAGACGGGAATCGATAGAAGGAGCAAGTGGTATGATCACTTTTATGACTACAACCTGGTACAAAGCACACAGGCATCTTGTAAAAGTGAATTTATTTTTAGCGATCTATAATTTATTGGAGGGAATAAATCAGTTATGAGATCTTCTTCTTCTTCGCTTTAATTACGAGTCTTATTATAAATCACCGAGCATGCCTGTGACATCACTTACGCGACCCAGAATGGGATTTGGGATTTGTAGTCTTTGTAGTATCGTATTTTTCATAGTCTTATATTTCAGCAGTTTTACGACAAAATGTGACTTTTTTGACATGGAAATGATTGTTTAAGATTGACAAACATCATATGTGTAGTTCGTGGCACAATTCAAACGGGATCAAAAGATACGTGTTCTCTCTCCATTGGATTCAATGTAAATTTTTCGCTTCCGGGGTCCCATGGTCCGGAAGTAGATGGGCGTGACTTCGCCTCTCCATACGCATTTTGCGCAGTCCGGTCAGCTCGCTAAACAGAGGGCGGAGCATCAGGTGATCATGCAGAGCTGCTTGTCTCTGTCTGACTCAGCAGCTGATCTGATCTCTCTCTCGTGTCCGGTTATACTTCACTCGCGTTTATGTCCATATCGATCAGATCCAGCTCTCCTGATCGGCCTTTATAGAGAGCACCGATCAAACTATCAAGAGTGAATATCGGCCGATAATGACCGGCGGGGCTCCCCCCCGTTAACAGGTCACTGTCTAGCACTGACTTCGTAGTGCACTGATCGATTAGGCTAAGCTAACCTGTAGCTGCTCCCTCCACCCTCACAACAACTTCATACAGACATAAATAAAGCAGCTGTATTCGCCATACAGGAAACACACATTTAAAACGGGTTTGCCTGCCGTTTTTGTGCACAAGCATTCATCAATGGTTTGGAAAGTGGCGCTGTACCTTAATAATATAAAGGCTTGTATTTGCGTGTATTTCCTGTTCGGAAAGTGGCGCTGTACTGGGAGTGCAGGCGTCCTGAGATTAGCACCTGCAGGCAGGCTCCATGGAGCTGTCAGCTCCGGACTGCGCAAAATGCGTACATGAAGCGCTACGTCATGAACGCAAGAAATCTACCCTCGTGGGGGCGCGCTCATGTGATTGGCTTAGAATTGAGGAGACATCTGATTGGCTATAGATAGAAATAATTACAAGCACGAATCGGCTGACCATCAGGGGAGTCTCAAAAAACCCACACACGAATGCACAGCGATCCGTGCACAGAGAGCGGGTTGTGTTTGCAGGTGCAGAGGATTCAAACGGGAAACTAATAAGTGAGGATCAAAAATACATGTGTAAAACTTTTTTCTGTGTTTGGATTTTATTTACATGAATATGAAACGGAACACATTTGTGTGTGCTTTGAAAAACACAAGTGTGGATCCGGAAATACAAGTTTGAATCCTTCTGTGCGCATGTGTGTATTATGAGACTGTTCTGAGCCCAGCAGACTGATATAATATAATTCACAAAAATATAAGAATAAAGATGAATAAATAAGAATATCTATTCAAATAAAACCAGTTCCTAAATAAAGTGAAGTGAAGTAAAGTGAAGTGCAGTGAAGTAAAGTAAAGTAAAGTGAAGTAAACATTGAACCATGTGCCTGCTATGACCCGTTGGGACCAGAGGATGATCTCCTGTCTGAACACACACATTACAACATCCTAACGTTTCTAACATGTTTCATTCTTTAACTCCTGGTTCCATTTAAAGCAGTATTTTGCAGTGTGTTTTTGCACTGCAGTGCTGGATGCTGCTAATATATATATATTAGTGCAGAGCGCCACCTGCTGGCTGATTGAGCTCACAGAGAAAACACTGTTCTTTTGGCTCATTAAAACATTTACTCCTGAAGTACCAACACGTCGTCACTCTGAGAATGTGGAGGAGAGGAGGAGGAGAGGATTAGAGGAGGAGAGGAGGAGAGGAGGAGGAGGAGGAGAGGAGGAGAGGAGGAGAGGAGGAGAGGAGGAGGAGGAGAGGATTAGAGGAGGAGAGGAGGAGAGGAGGAGGAGAGGAGGAGAGGAGGAGAGGAGGAGGAGCAGTGAAGGAGGAACAAAGGTTGGTTTCAAACTCGTTTTTATTTCACTTCTGTTGATTTTACAAATCATCTATCAGTTAGCTTCAGAAACAAGCTGCAGGAGTGTGTGAGAGAGAGTGTGTGTGAGAGAGTGTGTGAGAGAGTGTGAGAGAGTGAGAGATAGTGTGATAGAGTTAATGTGTGAGAGTGTGTGAGAGAGTTAATGTGTGAGAGTGTGTGAGATAGTTAATGTGTGTGAGAGTGTGAGAGAGTGTGAGAGAGTGTGTGAGAGAGTGTGTGTGAGAGTGTGAGAGAGTGTGTGAGAGAGTGTGTGAGAGTGTGTGAGAGAGTGTGAGAGAGTGTGAGAGAGTGTGAGAGAGTGTGTGAGAGAGTGTGAGAGAGTGTGAGAGAGTGTGTGAGAGAGTGTGAGAGAGTGTGAGAGAGAGTGTGAGAGAGTTAATGTGTGTGAGTGTGAGAGAGTGTGTGAGAGAGTGTGAGAGAGTGTGAGAGAGTGTGTGAGAGAGTGTGAGAGAGTGTGAGAGAGTGTGTGAGAGAGTGTGAGAGAGTGTGAGAGAGAGTGTGAGAGAGTGTGTGAGAGAGTGTGTGAGAGAGTGTGAGAGAGTGTGAGAGAGTGTGAGATGTGTTTCTTCTAGTATGTAAAGAGTGTCAGTAAAGCCACATGCATTCAGAGAGGAGATTTAAATGGTTAAAAACAGAGAGGCTCATGGGTAACGCGGGGAGGATGGAGGACGATGCAGATCAAATCAAAGATCTTCTCTCTCTGGACGACTGCAGGAACCCACTCTGAGAGAAACACAGAATACATCCATTACAATTAACATGAACACACCTGCATTCATGTTAACCTGACCTGAGTCAGCACTATGAGTCCTGACCCCTGACCTGAGTCAGCATTATGAGTCCTGACCCCTGACCTGAGTCAGCATCATGAGTCCTGACCCCTGACCTGAGTCAGCACTATGAGTCCTGACCCCTGACCTGAGTCAGCACTATGAGTCCTGACCCCTGACCTGAGTCAGCATCATGAGTCCTGACCCCTGACCTGAGTCAGCACTATGAGTCCTGACCCCTGACCTGAGTCAGCACTATGAGTCCTGACCCCTGACCTGAGTCAGCATTATGAGTCCTGACCCCTGACCTGAGTCAGCATTATGAGTCCTGACCCCTGACCTGAGTCAGCATCATGAGTCCTGACCCCTGACCTGAGTCAGCATTATGAGTCCTGACCCCTGACCTGAGTCAGCATTATGAGTCCTGACCCCTGACCTGAGTCAGCATCATGAGTCCTGACCCCTGACCGGAGTCAGCACTATGAGTCCTGACCCCTGACCTGAGTCAGCATCATGAGTCCTGACCCCTGACCGGAGTCAGCATTATGAATCCTGACCCCTGACCTGAGTCAGCATCATGAGTCCTGACCCCTGACCTGAGTCAGCACTATGAGTCCTGACCCCTGACCTGAGTCAGCATCATGAGTCCTGACCCCTGACCTGAGTCAGCACTATGAGTCCTGACCCCTGACCTGAGTCAGCATTATGAGTCCTGACCCCTGACCTGAGTCAGCATCATGAGTCCTGACCCCTGACCTGAGTCAGCACTATGAGTCCTGACCCCTGACCTGAGTCAGCATTATGAGTCCTGACCCCTGACCTGAGTCAGCATTATGAGTCCTGACCCCTGACCTGAGTCAGCATTATGAGTCCTGAACCCTGACCTGAGTCAGCATCATGAGTCCTGACCCCTGAGTCAGCACTATGAGTCCTGACCCCTGACCTGAGTCAGCACTATGAGTCCTGAACCCTGAGTCAGCATTATGAGTCCTGACCCCTGACATGAGTCAGCATTATGAGTCCTGAACCCTGACCTGAGTCAGCATCATGAGTCCTGACCCCTGACATGAGTCAGCATTATGAGTCCTGACCCCTGACCTGAGTTAGCATCATGAGTCCTGACCCCTGACCTGAGTCAGCACTATGAGTCCTGAACCCTGACCTGAGTCAGCATTATGAGTCCTGACCCTGACCTGAATCAGCATTATGAGTCCTGACCCCTGACCTGAGTCAGCATCATGAGTCCTGACCCCTGACCTGAGTCAGCATCATGAGTCCTGACCCCTGACCTGAGTCAGCATCATGAGTCCTGACCCCTGACCTGAGTCAGCATTATGAGTCCTGACCCCTGACCTGAGTCAGCATCATGAGTCCTGACCCCTGACCTGAGTCAGCACTATGAGTCCTGAACCCTGACCTGAGTCAGCATTATGAGTCCTGACCCCTGACCCGAGTCAGCATTATGAGTCCTGAACCCTGAGTCAGCATTATGAGTCCTGAACCCTGAGTCAGCATTATGAGTCCTGAACCCTGAGTCAGCATTATGAGTCCTGAACCCTGAGTCAGCATTATGAGTCCTGAACCCTGACTCAGCATGATGAGTCCTGAACCCTGAGTCAGCGTTATGAGTCCTGAACCCTGAGTCAGCATTATGAGTCCTGAACCCTGAGTCAGCGTTATGAGTCCTGAACCCTGAGTCAGCATTATGAGTCCTGAACCCTGAGTCAGCGTTATGAGTCCTGAACCCTGAGTCAGCATTATGAGTCCTGAACCCTGAGTCAGCATTATGAGTCCTGAACCCTGAGTCAGCATTATGAGTCCTGAACCCTGACTCAGCATGATGAGTCCTGAACCCTGAGTCAGCGTTATGAGTCCTGAACCCTGAGTCAGCATCATGAGTCCTGACCCCTGAGTCAGCATCATGAGTCCTGAACCCTGAGTCAGCATTATGAGTCCTGAACCCTGAGTCAGCATCATGAGTCCTGAACCCTGAGTCAGCATTATGAGTCCTGAACCCTGAGTCAGCATTATGAGTCCTGAACCCTGAGTCAGCATGATGAGTCCTGAACCCTGAGTCAGCGTTATGAGTCCTGAACCCTGAGTCAGCATTATGAGTCCTGAACCCTGAGTCAGCATTATGAGTCCTGAACCCTGAGTCAGCATTATGAGTCCTGAACCCTGAGTCAGCATTATGAGTCCTGAACCCTGAGTCAGCATTATGAGTCCTGAACCCTGACTCAGCATGATGAGTCCTGAACCCTGAGTCAGCGTTATGAGTCCTGAACCCTGAGTCAGCATTATGAGTCCTGACCCCTGAGTCAGCATCATGAGTCCTGAACCCTGAGTCAGCATTATGAGTCCTGAACCCTGAGTCAGCGTTATGAGTCCTGAACCCTGAGTCAGCGTTATGAGTCCTGAACCCTGAGTCAGCATCATGAGTCCTGACCCCTGAGTCAGCATTATGAGTCCTGAACCCTGAGTCAGCATTATGAGTCCTGAACCCTGAGTCAGCATCATGAGTCCTGAACCCTGAGTCAGCATTATGAGTCCTGAACCCTGAGTCAGCATTATGAGTCCTGAACCCTGAGTCAGCATGATGAGTCCTGAACCCTGAGTCAGCGTTATGAGTCCTGAACCCTGAGTCAGCATTATGAGTCCTGAACCCTGAGTCAGCATTATGAGTCCTGACCCCTGAGTCAGCATCATGAGTCCTGACCCCTGAGTCAGCATTATGAGTCCTGACCCCTGAGTCAGCATCATGAGTCCTGACCCCTGAGTCAGCATCATGAGTCCTGACCCCTGAGTCAGCATCATGAGTCCTGACCCCTGAGTCAGCATCATGAGTCCTGAACCCTGAGTCAGCATTATGAGTCCTGACCCCTGAGTCAGCATCATGAGTCTTGACCCCTGAGTCAGTATTATGAGTCCTGAACCCTGAGTCAGCATTATGAGTCCTGACCCCTGAGTCAGCATCATGAGTCCTGAACCCTGAGTCAGCACTATGAGTCCTGAACCCTGACATGAGTCTGCACTATGAGTCCTGACCCCTGAGTCAGCATCATGAGTCCTGACCCCTGAGTCAGCATCATGAGTCCTGACCCCTGAGTCAGCATCATGAGTCCTGAACCCTGAGTCAGCATTATGAGTCCTGACCCCTGAGTCAGCATCATGAGTCCTGACCCCTGAGTCAGTATTATGAGTCCTGAACCCTGAGTCAGCATCATGAGTCCTGACCCCTGAGTCAGCATCATGAGTCCTGACCCCTGAGTCAGCATCATGAGTCCTGACCCCTGAGTCAGCATCATGAGTCCTGAACCCTGAGTCAGCATTATGAGTCCTGACCCCTGAGTCAGTATCATGAGTCCTGACCCCTGAGTCAGCATTATGAGTCCTGACCCCTGAGTCAGCATCATGAGTCCTGAACCCTGAGTCAGCACTATGAGTCCTGAACCCTGACATGAGTCTGCACTATGAGTCCTGACCCCTGAGTCAGCATCATGAGTCCTGACCCCTGAGTCAGCATCATGAGTCCTGACCCCTGAGTCAGCATCATGAGTCCTGACCCCTGAGTCAGCATCATGAGTCCTGACCCCTGAGTCAGCATCATGAGTCCTGACCCCTGAGTCAGCATCATGAGTCCTGACCCCTGAGTCAGCATCATGAGTCCTGAACCCTGAGTCAGCATTATGAGTCCTGACCCCTGAGTCAGCATCATGAGTCCTGACCCCTGAGTCAGCATCATGAGTCCTGACCCCTGAGTCAGCATCATGAGTCCTGAACCCTGAGTCAGCATCATGAGTCCTGAACCCTGAGTCAGCATCATGAGTCCTGAACCCTGAGTCAGGTCTGTGGTTAGCAGAAGCTGGACAGATGTTAGCGTGTAGTTGATCCCTCAGTCCGCTCTCACCTACTGAGCCGTCTGCTCTGCAGCTCCCGTCTTCTGGAGGTCGGCCTGCAGGAGCACAGAAAACACGCCTGAAGCCAAACTGCAGAAAAACCATGTAGAAATCCACAGTCCTCCAGAGAACACGGTGTTTATGTGAAGAGTAAAACACGAGGGTCCACTTTGGACCAAAGAAATTCAACCATCTTTGCTAAAAAAGAATAAAACTCATTTGTATGTTATTGTGATAACTCTGAAAGGTGTTCTGAGGACATACAGCTTACGTTCAACTGCATCAAGAAATACAATGATCACATTTATAGGAAATAAGCTACAAAAATAGAACTAATTTTATTTAGAAAAAAGTTGTTAGTAAACTACGGGAGGGCACGAGGGTCACGTGACATTTATTCTGAGATCTGAGAATTCTGTAGATTTTTTTCAAAAATGAAATGAAATGATTTCGTCTGGAATTAAAAATTATTTTTGTTTTTTTCAGTTTTTTTCTGATTGTTTGGTTTTTTCAGAAAATCAGAAAATTCCAATTATTTATCTTTTTATCAGACTTTTATGTTTCATTTGAGAATGACATTGACTTTTTCTGAAAAAGGTTTTAAAATAATTGTATTTCCCCTTTTTTCTGAATTCATTTTTCTCTGAGAATTATTTTAATGAAAATTCTCTTTTTTTTCTTAACTTTAAAGAATACAGAAATACTAATCAGAACTTTTCTGATTAGTATTTCGATAAAGAAAAATCTGGAGAAAAACGTCAGATCTCAGAAATGTTTTCCCATTTGTCCCTAATCCCCTCCCGTAGTTAGGAAAGCTGTCATCAGCGTAATGACGGATATTAAATGGATTGTATTTGTTTGCAACGACATACCATGCACCTCTCTACACTAAAGTATTGACATGTAAGGGATAATGTGCAGCGAGGCATTGTGGGTAAAAGAACACCCGACAGGCAGATCAGGATCAGGAGCCCGACGCGAATTACAAGGCCACATTCTCAACAAAGTAACCACATGCCTCCCAATGTTCACCGGACATTAATTGAAATGCTTTTATAGATTTAGAAAATGTTTTTATTGATTTAAAAATCCGCCAAGAGAAATAGTCCGTTGTTACCGTTTGAACTACGTAGCAACGGCAGGAACTGCTTCGATAGCGTTTTTGAGGAGCTTTTTGATCACAGATTTGAAAACATCGCTGCTTGCTTTAAAAGTAGCACACTTCATGAAGTCAGACCTTGGAGAGTATCTAGATATCCTGCCCTGATGCCAAAGGAACTGCACACTGAATATGTGTCGCCGTCTGATGTCTGGACCGCTGCGTAACAAGGAGGGTTTCTGCCCGTTACTTCTCCGCTGGTTTCTTGTCCCTCTTGTCTTTTTCTTTTCTTTACTCATCAGCCACTAACCATTCATCCAAATGACTGCTCTCCAAATATATTCAAATGAATATTAACATCCTCCATGTTGCTCTCAGACGGGAGACAACGGGAAACTAAAGACAAGCAAACTGCACACAGTTCAATCGACCGGACTTCTTTCTGCAGATGTGAGCGTCCTTAACAACGGTCAATAAGTCCTTGACAACGGTCAATAAGTCCTTTATAAAGCGGTCTGTACTGCTGGGTTAACAACGTGTCACGTGTTCTGAATTGACCAATCAGAATCCAGTGTTCAACTAAGCCATGTAATAAATATACTGATTACACAGGGAGAAGGTGGCCATGTCCTGAGAAACAGAACGTATAATATAATAGTATTTATAGTAATTATGGGATTTAAGTTTTACATTTTCCGAGTGCTCAAAGAGTTATCGGCCAAGAAAGTGAACTAAGTTATAATCATCCCGTCAAAATAGAAAGAAATAATTTAACAATGAAAACATAAAATTATGTTTTAGGTTAAAAAAGGTTTTTTGTCAGACTACGAAGCTGTGAGTCCTGAGAGCGATTCAATGTTAGATCAGCCAATCAGCTTCATGCCATGCAATCACCCCACCACCCCTCGACCAATAAGGCACCTCCTCAGACACTGCTCCCGCCTCCTCCTGTTCTCAGCCAATCAGAAGAGGTGAAAGAAAGACATCAACACAACACAATAACTTTAAGATTTTATTTTGTTCCTGTTTTGTTTATTTAACGTCACGTATTTATTTATTTTTTGCTCATTATTAACTCGAAGACATTTTATGTTATTATTAAAAAATGAAACGTTTATGTTTTATTATTTAAATGAAGAGTTTTTAAAATAAGAATAAATAAAAACATTGAATAAATATAGCAATTTAATTAGTAATTTAATTATTAATAAGATTTCTGAAGTATTTTATTCCTGAACCTTTTTAGATTTTAATTTACTCCTTTATTCCCTTAATTCGAAAATGTAAAAAATAACGGGAAAACAGATTAAAAAAAACAGTAAAAATAACCACAATTTAAATAAATAATCACACATTAATAGACCTTTTTAGATTTCAGAAAAAAAGCCCCCCCACTCACCGTGCTGACAAAGCCGCTCGCCATCGCTGCGTTTTCCACTTCCTCCACCGCCACCGCCGCTACCTCGTTAGCGCCCGTCACCGCCGAGTCGGCCACGACGTTAGCCTGCTCGTTAGACTTCTGTGCCACTGGAGAACCAATCAATCAATCAAAGTGTATTTATATAGCCCAATATCACCAATGTTACATGCGTCTCAGAGGACTTTACAGTTTGTACAGAATATTAATACGATCCCCTCTGTCCTCGGACCCTCACATCGGACAAGAGGCGCTTTCACACTGGAGTACTTTTCCCAGGAATAGTTCCGATAGTTCCTGGGATTTTGCGTTCACACCGAAAAGTTCTGGAACTACAACTTTTTTTTGCCAACCTTTTCACCCCCAGTCAGTCCCTGCTAGAGAGGTGGTTCTTTCCTGGGAGAAAAAGGTACCAATTTCTGATTGGCTGGGCGGATTGCAAACCACGCCCCGTAAAACTCTGAACATTTTTGTGAAGGCGCCATTTTATTTGCTGGCATTAGCAT